CCCACCAACCACTCCTCAGAAGAAAGGTTGAGCAATCTATTTCCATAGTGATACCACCCTGGAAACCCAAGGAAGGGTCACTACGAGTCAGATCTGACTCAATGGCAGTTGAGTTCTTGTGACATATTTAGGAGTTCTTTATTGTTTAATACAAAAGGGCACATATCCCATAAACCAAATAATTTAGGAGTTCAACCACTGTTTTTTGCAATATCTTTTAAATCTCAATGATAAAGAGTTAACTAGGACCATTTTATTCTATTAAAAAAAAAAAAAAACCTCATGTTAAGAAAGAACTAAAAATTCTGTTTTTAAAAAAAAAATCATGAAGGATAGAACTTTTGCGGGGCAGGAGACCTATCACGCTCTTTGTAGACCACAGGATGCGGTTCCCTCTCCAGAAACCATGTAAAAGCCCATTACCTCTAGCAACCTATGGTGAGGCACAAAGAAGCTTTCTGATGCACTCCAATGGAGCTGGCAACTCTCCCTAATTGTGTGAGAATGGAAAGCCACTTGAGAACTCTAGAGTGGCAGCAAAACAGAACCCACGAGATACCCTGCTAGCATGTTTAAAGACTTATCAAAAGCCACCTTACATCAGCCCCAGTTGATGGCTCAGAAACAACAGAGAACACCTTAGATTTTCCTGGATGTGCACCCATACAGGTCATATTCGACCAGGAAGCTAGAAGGAAACACTCAATGTCCAGCCATTTTATGGTAGGACCCAGAAAACACAGGCAACCTCTTTCAAGATGGTAGATCTTCTGGTTTTTCTCCTCCACATCTAGAAATCCATCTTTTGAGATAAATAGAACTAGTACAAAAGAATGACCTGTACTACATAGCCAATTATCAGGAGTTAAACACCTTACAGCAAAATTTACATCTGGGAAAGGAAAGCACTCTCTAACTGATTCTATAAAGCAGCTCTTTGCCACAGCATTCATTATTATGAAGCTCCCATCAATGTAGGTCAGGTTTCAGTAGAGAGCACCAGCTTCCATTTGGGGAATATAGTTCACTGGGTAGAACTCTCTGCTCATCACATCCTTTAGATCAAAGAAGGCAAAGAGCGATCAGAGAAGTGCCCCTAATGGAACACCTCCACTTTCCGCTGATATGTCATTGGCTTTTGTACACATGAATTAACTCAAGAGACCCTCACAACACTGACTCTGCAATGCAAGCAGCACCGGTATTATCTCTACCTTACAGATGAAGAAATGGTGACTCTGAAGCTAAATGACTAACTTGCCCAAGGTCATGGGTCAGGCAGTTAATTAGTAGGCCAACCAGGAGATGAGCCTAGACTTCCCACTTGCAGACCAGGGCAATTGCCAGGACACTACCCTGCTTCCCTGTGTTTTAGGATAAGAAGCAGAAGAGTGCGATGGTTATGAGCCCAAGTCCCACTATCAGTCGATCTGCAGGTCTGCATTCTGATCCCAGTTCCACTGCCTATTAGCTGCTATGATCTTGCATAAGTTCCTCCACTTCACTGAATGTCAGTCTCCTCACATGTAAAATGAGTGATAGTGATTAATGGAGACTCTGATAACAGCTAACAGCAACAAATGAGATGATGGAGCATGAAAGCACTCAAATTCACTCACAAAACAAGTACTTACGCAAGGCACAGTGCAAGAGTTACAATAATGATCAAGAAGCACAATCTTGCTTTCCTGGAGCTTAGAGGCAAGTCAAAGTACAGAAACAAATAAGCAGAGAGATGGATAAAATACTTAGAAAATGTGTTGAGTGCTATTACAGAAACAGGTAACTGGCTGGAGAGAATCGCAAAAGCTGGGCAATGTTTAAGAGTGGTCAAAGAAGGCCTCTTGGAGGAGAAATCTAAGACCTAAGGGATCAGAAGGAATCTACACGAAGAATGGAAGGAAAAGCATGCTAGACCAAAGAAACAGGATGTGTGAAGGTCATCAAACTGAGAGAAGACAAAGGGACCGTGGGGCATCTACTCCTGGGGATTCAGGGAACAAGCCTTACCCGCTGCACTGCCAAGGATCACCACATACATTTCACAAATAACAACGATGAGGCTCGAGAAGGGTTACATGTCTCGTCCAAGGTTATAGTACTCAGTGGAGGAGCTAGAACTGGGACCCCAGCGCCATACCTCCTGACACAGCATAAACTCACTCTCTCTGAGAAGGCCTCATGTACGCGGAACGCCTCCAATGATTTCACCAACAACTCTGTTTTCTGTGCCCATGAAGAGCTTCAAATGCATCTTGAAAACATAAGTATCCTAGTATCCTATTAATTTTCAGGCCTCTAAGTCAATTGTGCACTGGGCTCCTTACCCTTCTTTTTTTTTCCCCCTCCCATGATTATGAGGTTGATTAGGAAAGTAACAGTTTACAATTCAGGATCAGAAATGACTCAGGGTACAGTTCTCCAATCAGGACAACCTCTTCTCAGCAGTGCCTGCAGGCATGCTTCTCCCTGACCCTCAGCCTCTGGGACCCGGAGCCCCTTGGCCTCTGCCCCGCTTGGGCAAGTGTTACAAAGCTCTTTTAGCTCCAGTGATAAGTGCCTAGAGGCACCCCACTCTACCAGTAAGCCTCTGCCAGAAGGCACTCAGCTGTAGCTCTATGCTTACCCTTCTAATCTTAAGACACAAGGGCAAAAACTTCTTGGACCTTACTCAAAGGCACCAAAGTGAAAATGAGTTTCTCTTCTTGAGGCAAAGAACAGGAGAGGAAATGGATGTCCCAGAAGGTCCCACAGCCTGTTCCAGGAGGTGAGATAGAACCACTGCAGGTAAGGGACAGGTGAAGGTTCACCTCAAATGAAGTGCACAGAAGTTCACGACTTCATGTAAATAAAAGAACAATTCCCTAAAGTAGTGGTAGAACCACTACCACCACCACCTGAGGACATCTGGAAATCCATGGGAGCATTTTAGGGTGTCACAAAGAACCACAGGATGCTACTGACATTTAGTGGGCAGGGTCAAGTACGCTCAATGTCTTGCAATGGGCATAATGGATCTATACAGCCAAGAATGTACTGCCCAAAGTACTAACGGCACCCTCTCCCCACTTTTGATACCCTTCCCTAAAGAATAAATATGCTCCAACTCTTCCTGTAATCCCATCACTCAGTCACTCTCTCTACCCTTACCAAATTGGATGAAAATAAAATAAAACAGAAAAATCAAACCAATGTTTCACAGCTCAGGAGTCTGGAATTTTGGAATCCAACTGTAAGCTTGTAGTTCCAGCATGGAACCTGGTAGTGGACTAGGGAAAGAGACGTTTCTAGTAAGAGACAGACTTAAAGAATTTTAGCAAAGGGTGAACTCTCCCCCATCCTTCCCAGATAAGCCCTTAAAAGATCATACTTCTTCTGTGACACACAAAATTATAACTGATTTTAGAGAACCTTCATATAGTGCTTTGCACTTTAACTTCA